ATCCATATACTATGACATGTAGCCAGACAAGCTTCATTATCTGAATGACAAGCTTCTTCATTTGCATCCCAACCACTGTGCTTTGTAGGAAATCCTCTCAAACACTGCAACCTCATCTAATTAAGTGACCAATTACAATGTCATTCAAAATCCACACAGGTCTCTTGCCAGTGTCCACCATGGGTTTGCCTGGTCAGTCTGTAGCTGTGAAGGAACTGTTTCCCAATGCATGGTGGATTTACAAAATGAAGTGATCGTCATACTTAAAGGGACCCCTTAGGGAAATTGATTAAAAATTACTCAAAGGCCTAAGTGATTCCGTGGCTAAGTTGTTCAAATCAGTGATAAAACATTAGACCTTTTAGAGTGCAATTATAAATTATGCAAGGAACAGCAATGACTGATTAATTGTCCTAAGGATGAATGCATAGTTGCCATTATAATCAATATGGTCACTGCTATTAGATAAAAGAAACACACTTAGATGATTTTTACTCCCAATAAAGAGTTCCATTTAAAAATGTTTATGCTTTCATTAAAAATTATGTAATTCCTTAGCAGATGGTGCCCAGCTATGTCTGGGGTCTTATGGGCTTATGTTCAAACAGCAGCCATTTAGGTAAGGAGTCAACTAAGTTCACATGGAAGAAGTACATCAGCCTGTGTGATCCAAAGAGGACAATAACAAAATCCAAATATGACAAAGGGGAAAATATAGGAGCTTAAATTGTGAACACCCAATTTGGAGAAGGCTATGGAAGACAATGGGAGCCCAACTCCATCTGCAGAATGTCTACTTAGATTTAGACTCTGGCAGATCCCTTCTAGCCACTGGCAAGGGATTCAAACAACTTAACTATCAGACAGAGATTATTATAAACTTGACTGTGGTTTAGTTTGACACTTGAACAGGTGACCTCCCTCTTGACCCAACCTCAAGTATTTCTTGCTTGTTCCACAACAAAAATTTCTCCCCTGGCTTTTTAAATATTGAAGGGTCTTTTCTTTCTTACTCTTTATTTCTATATTTATCTTTATAATATTATTATTTTATACTTGCCGCTTTATTTTGCTTTTGTTTGTTACCAATATTGTTGGGTTTCCCCGTTGGGGGAGCACAGGAATCAGTGCATAGAGACAGCTGATACAATGGTTGATCTGGGATGTGGAGGGGGCTGTAGGCGATAGGGAGGACAAGGGCACACAGGGAGCAACAATGAGTCTGGAAGTGGGGAGGGAGCACTAGAACTGATTGTGATTATGTATCTACAGCTTATTTTAAAAGCAATTTGACCATGGAAGTATAAGTAAGTACAATATGGAGAAAATCACTAAGAAAAAGTGTTTATATAAAGTGTAGCCAATGTCATTGAACAATATGCATAGAAAAATTTTAATGGGAACCTAATTTGCTATGTAAACTGTCATGAAAACACAATAAAATACATATTTTTAAAAGTATTTAATTCCTCACATCTGAAACACATTGGGCTTGATCTAGTGTTTAATATTTTCTGTGGTCTTGGTTTTTTTGTTTGTTTGTTTTCATATTGGGATTTATCTCTTGTATTTTGTTGTTGTGGGTAGCCTTCTTGAATCTTTGCTATGTTTTTTTTGTTTGGTATATGCAACTTAGGAGTAATTAAACTATAGAGACAACAACTAGACTAAGAGTTACTGGGGGTATGGTAGGGGAGGTGGGGGCTAAGGAGGAGCTATTATTAAGGAACTCAAGAAGGAAGAAAATGTTTTGAAACTGATTTTAGTAGCAATTGTACAATAGTGTTTGGTGTGATTGAACTATGGAATGGTTGATGTCTGAATTGGCTCCTAATAAAATGGTTTAGAAAAAAATATATATCTTCAGCAAAAAAAAAAAATCTATTTTAAGTGTCATCACTTTAAGAAATATTGCCCTCAGTAAGAAGTTTCCTCAGTTAATAAAGAACTTTCTGTATTTCAGTTTTATTTTATGTAAGAAACTTCATGCTCAGAGGAGTTCACATACTTTCAACTGTTGTCAGCTGCCCTAGAGTTGGCCTCCAACACACGATGACCCATGCACAAAGGAATGACATGCAGTCTGATCCTCCATCATGCCCCGATCAATCAATCATCGATCAGATCCATAGGGTTTTCATTGGCTGATTTTCAAAAGGAGACCATCAGGCTTTTTGTCCTACTCTGTTTTGGTCTGGAACTTCAGAGAAACCAATTCAGCAACAAGTCTACAAAACAGCCTCTTATGCCAGATGGGTGGTGGCTGGACATGAGGCATATTCCCCAGAAATGGAACCCTGGTCTATAGCGTGGAGAGAAAGAATTGTACCAGTGAACTACCAGTGTCTCCCACATGTAGGCACATCATTTGCTGTTTGAGAACTCTTTCTGTCTAGAAACTTTTTTTTAAACTTTTTTTTGTTTTGTAAATTAAATAAGGGTTTACATTTGAGATCATCAACTTTGTATTCAACAGTCCAAATCACTAATCAAAGTCTGTAGTAGTCCACCCCTTCCTGCTCCCTGCTTCCCTGCCCTCCCCTATGGACTGCCATTCTCTATTTCACCTAAGTCAACATAAACAATATGGTTTTGACCTCAAATATAGTTTGCCCTCATTTGGAGGTGCTAAGGAGATAAATAGCTCACTGGGGGACAGACATATGCTCACTCCCTGGGAGACATTGAAGCTGACGAGACGTGGAGCTATGCCAGAGCTCTGGAGCTGAAGAGGCCATGTGGAGACCTCTGCGAGGGCTGAGATGCTTACAATGCCACTGGATCCGCAAGACTTCCCACCCACTGGCCTGTGATCTTCCTGCATTCGGCATCATTGCATGTGTTTTGTGAGTCTGAAGAGGACTTCATAGATTGGTATTGGACTATGGCATAATATCAGACTTAGGGACCTGAACTGGACTGGGCTGGGATGATTTCTCAATATTCAATTGCTCTTATATGTAAAGCTCTTTCTTTTACACATATGTGTGTTTATGAGTTTGTTTTTTTAGTCTACACAGACTAACCCACCTCTCTTAACCTCTCCCTTTGGCAGCCTCCAAAGTCTGCTCCCTGTGGTATGGGAGTCTTAATCGTGTTTCTTTCTTTCTCTTGTCCCCTTTATGGCAGTAGCTTCATATATTTGTGCTGTTGTCCTTGAGTAATTTCACTCCGAATAATGTTCTCCAGGTCCTACCATGTCATGAGGTGCTTCATGGTTCCGTCCTTTTTTTTAGTGATATATAGAGTATATATTTACCAGAAGTTCTTTATCTATTCTTCTACTGATGGACATCTAAGTTGTTTCCAATTTCTTCCTATTATGAACACTGTTGCAATGAACATGGGTCTGTTCATGTTATGACCCTTACTTCTTTAAGCTAGGTACCCCACAGAGGAGTTGCCGGATCTTATAGAATTTCTATTCCCAGTTGTCTGAGGTCGTGCCATGCTGCTTTCCACATATTGACATATGTACAGTGCCATCAGTAGCTTAGGAGAGTTCCACTCACTCCAAAGTCTCGCCATCATTTGTTATTTTCTGTTGGCTTGTTTTGTTTTTTAACTTTGCTATTGTTGTCAATGTAAGGTGGTATCTCTTCTTGCTTTGGTGGCATAGTGGGTTCACTGTTGGGCTGCTAACTGCAGGAGCAGCAGTTCAAAACCACCAGCCACTCCTCAGCAGAAAGATGAGGTTTTTTCCTGTAGAGTTACAGTCTCAGACAGTCATAAGGACAGTTTTACTTTGTCCTGCAGGGTTGCTGTGAGTTGGAATCCACTCAATGGCAGTGAGTGAGATGGCTCGTGGTCGTCAGCATTTCTTCCTATGTTTGTTGGCCATTTGGATGTCATCCTTAGTGAGCGCTCTGTTCATTTTCTTAGCCTACTTTTAAATTGGGTAATTAATATTTTTCTTATTGAGGGATTGTAGTGTACTATAGAGTTTAGAGACTACTCTCTTGTCTGTTGTGTTGTTGCCAATTTTTTTTTCTAATTCCATAGTTTCTCTTTTCACTCTTTGAATGAAATCTCTTGATGCATAAAAGTGTCTCATTTTTAGTAGGTCCCAGACATCTATTGTTTTAACTACTATGTGTGTTTCCTTTATTATATTTGTTAGTGTGTCTGTGCCCAGAAATAGGACCTTTAAATTTGTCTATTTTCTCATTGATGATCTTTACAGTTCTAGGATTTACATTTAGGTCTTTGGCCTACCTTGAGTTTATTTTTGACAATGAGTTGAGGTATGAGTCCTGTTTTATTCTTCTGCAGATGGAGATCTAATTTTATTGGCACCAGCTGTTGAAAGGACTATCTCTTTTCCATTTAATGTTTTTGTTTGTTTGTTTGTGCTTTCTCAAAGATCAAAGTTGTCTGTAAGTGACTAGAGACTGTTGATGCCAAGCGGGTTTCTCTCTACTACGCATGCACATCAGCTATCTTTAAGTTCCCTTCCTCTCATGCTCTGTATCACTCCTAACTTTAAAAAATCAGTAATTTGGCCACCTCCTTTACCTTAAATAATCAAAATTTTCTATCCTCTAAACAATTCCTTCATGTTCTTCCTTTTAGGGGTGGGTCCCTGATGGCTTACATTGCTTAGTTGAATATTTCTTCTAGGCTAATGTTTAGGATTTAAGCTAATGTTTGTCCATTACTGTGGTGATGGGAGGCCCCCCTGTTTAGTAAGTGTTGTTTGTTGAGTGAATTCTTCTCAGAGTTCACAGGTACAGTCTATTTGGCAAAACTGCAGAATTTATACCTGTGAAGACTAGAGAAGTAGAAGTCAGATTTCAGCCCCTTTAACATTATGGAGACCTCACTAGCCTGTGTCTCCATGGAATCCTAAGTTAAAATGTCAAGTAAAACTGAAAGCTGGATAGGACAGAGTTCAGTGTGTTATAATGAAGACTTACGGATAAAAGAAAACATTTTGTCTTTTAATTCTCTTTTCAAGCCAAACTTTAACCACAAAGCTAACACCTCCCTTATCGTTTTAGGTCAAATGAGCAGGACCCGATTTATCATTATGCCAACCCAAGGAGAAGGCCGGCCATGCCCCACAGAGCTTACTCAGCAGAAAGCCTGCCCGGCAACCCCCTGCTACAGCTGGGTCCTTGGGAACTGGTCTGCATGTAAACTGGAGGTAGGTCATGTTTTTCGTTTGTCTGAAGAACTTCTCTGGTCAAACAATATGCAGAGTGAAATAAATTTCACAGCTCTGCTGGCACGATGTATTTTTAATAGGACAAAGAAACCAGGAAGTACAACCTAGTGACTTAACATCAAGCAGAGTTATATTGTGAGGACAGGAAATAGCCATTCATTCGCTACTGATTATAATAGGCCGGGCCATGGGACTTTCAATCTCTCTGGCATCGTCAAGTTCTGTTTTTTCCTTGGCTTGTTGGAAATATCAAAGAATTATTTAATTAGGTAAAATCTTGGTGCTGGGAAATGCACCACTTGCCATGGACAGTATTTTCAAAAGCGACTCTTTGGGCTTAGAAAAAAATGTTGCATATGGGCAGAAAACCAAAAGTATATGAAAGCTATATTTTAACATTATTACACGAACCAAGGTTACTACATTTTCCTCAACGATTACTTTTTTATTGGCCTGAAATATAAATGCCTAGCAACATCATAATATATCTCGGATCCTGAGCTTTTGCTAGATCAGCAAAGAGCCTCTACTGCATTTTCTCTCTGGCTGCTTGCTTAGGAAAATGCACATTGATTTCCCCTATATTCTTATTTTACTAGTTTATCCTTCAGTTCCTGTTCAAAAGCATATTTTAATTAGGTAACAATAATTTTGATTATGCATTAAAAATCTACAGAGTATTTTCATAGAGATGTCTGGTGTTCCCGTCAGGATGATTTTGTAATGCAGTATTATTATCTTGCAAACGTTAAATGCCTGTGTATTGTAATAGGTCCCAGAGGAGAGACAAAGTGTGGCGTATTTGTTTAGTCTCTTTTTTGACAGAAAATAGGGTGACCATACTAATTAATGAATTCAGTGGCATCCTAATGGCTTTAAGTAGGACTACATTGTCTCCTGGTGTAAAATGTTCTTTCCTCTGCCTCTAGTTAGCATTTTCTAAATGCTGTTTGAAATCACAAGCAAGTCTAAAATATAGAAGGACTATATTTATAGCTCTGATGGCTATCGATAAAAGTAGAGAAAATAAATTTATCTGGTTCAGGAACCCATTGCAAGGGAAGGGAGAAGGAAGGTGGTTAGAAGAGAAAGGAGATGTGGAGAGCAAGCAAACACCAAGTTCCCAGTCTTACTGGAACAAATGAGTCGCTTTGATGCTGTGGCGTCTTATTTGTCCTTTGGAGCATTGCCTTTTCGCTTCTTTGCTGTCAGGAGCCTCTTTTGTCATTCATGCCAGCTAATTTGCCTCATAGGAACATTTGGAGCAAATGTTAAATGTAATGTTTCACGTTACAGTCACGTATTGGAGTCTCATCAGCACCCCAAAAGCCGCGGTGACGGGTTCTGACCTTCAGGGCACTTGCTGGTGTAGGTGGGAAGTACTACCAGGTGCTGAGTCCCAGTGAGTGAATTTCTACTCCCAGGGACCCTACAGCACAGGGCAGAACTGCTGCCCGCCCTGGCTTTCTGAGACTTTTAACTCTTTATGGGAGGCCCTTCTATCCAGAGCAGTCAGTGGCTTTGCTAACAGTGCCCAGCTGCAGCCTTTGCAACTCACAGCCCAACGCAGAACCACTGCTCCACCCAGGATTCTTCCACGGACAGGTTTGTCAACTTTGGCTAGAAAATGATTCAAATGTTAAGAGGATTCTAAATATGCTAACTAGTCTCTGGTCTACTGAGCCTTCTGAGATGAAAATCACCTTACTCAGGAAATTAACATATTCACCAGCCTTTTCTATTTTAGGAATAAATCCACTAAAATCTATCTCCTGTCAGAAAAGTTTTAGAAACTGTTCATTGTTTTAAACAACTCTCACAGGAAACCTTTAAGCACACAAAAACAAACATACTGTTTAGCAGACCTGATCATTCCCACCCTCACTGCCTTGACTCGGTGCTGACCCACAGCCACCCTTAGAGGAAGGGGCAGAAACCACAAGCGGAAGTGACCAGGAGATTCCTCCATGCATTTCAGACCAGCCTCAATTTCCTAGATGGTGTTAGATTCACCCACTGACACTTCGAGTCAGAACTACCCTTAATGCAGGCAAAGCCTTCCAAAATCGACATAATGGCAGTTCATTTTTCTTAGGGAGACACTTGATCCAAGCAGACCAGTGTTCCTCCGCAAGAGTTTGGAGTGGAATTGCAACAGACGATCCTGGAATCGGGAACTCTTAGCCGCCAGGTTTGGCTCACTTGTGAATCAAGTCAGTCAGGAGCAGAGAGCAATGAAGGTGACACACCAAGAAGAGCAGAGGCGAGGAGAGAGCCCGTCCTGGTGCTCGCTGAGTTCCCTTTTCCTAGGCTGGGGCTGCATTCTTACACGGGTGCTGTCTCACCCGTAACTGTGAGACAGCACGAGATCTTCAGTAAATTGCCTTTTTAAAAATTCATATGGAAGCTGTGTTCTTTGAATTGCTGTTCAAAACACACCTGGGCATTTCACACAAAGAAAGAACACTCTCTCTCTCATGGACACATTCTGTTTTTCTTTGATGGTCTCAGATCCTAACCTACAAAATGCAGGTTGGAGCCCATTTGCTGAGGTTAGTGATTATCCGATCTATAGATTTAAGAGGTAGCTTTCTCAAACAAATACCCAGTCTTTATAATGGAAGCTTTCGTAGAGTTGGATGGAAGCCACCATCCTATGTGGAAAGATATTGGTAAGAAAATGTTTTTCTTTAGTAAATATATATATATATATATATATATATATAAACATATATGTGTATGTGTGTGTGTGTATGTTTTTTCCAGTGTTCCCAATTTTGCCAAAGGATAGCATAGTGAGTCTCAATGACAGACTGAATCCTGAGTCAAGGTGACTCCATATATGCACTTTAGAACTGCTCCATCAGATGTGCAAGGCCATGACCTTTCAATAGCAGACCCCCAAGCTTGGCTTTTGAGATGCCTCCGGGTGGATGCTTAACAGTTTGTGTTACCTGGGAACAACTCTTTTCTTGAGTCTTATCTATGTTAATTTTAGCCAAAGTTCTGTCAATTTCTGGCTCTTCATTTTTGACCATGTGTCCAAACTCTTCAAGCCTATTTTTACACACACACACGAAAAATTCCATTATATTTTAATTTCATTTCCACCATAGTTTTGGAGCCCCCCTTATATGCACACACAAATATACACATATGCATATATAGAAATATAGACACATCTATATTTAGACATAGATACAACATAGACACATCGACATAGACACACATAGATACAACATAGATAGGCACATATCTATAGAAATATATCTACAGACACATAGACATGTAGATAGACATACATATAACATAGACAGTCACATAGCTATATTTCCACCATATTTTTGGAGCCCCCCCCCAATACTCACAGATATATACATATATAGAAACGTGGACACAACATAGATAGACGCATGTGTATACTATGTTATGTGTCTTCGTTCTCTAGTGCCACCAGGTAGTAGATTATCAGATAGAGACAGAAATAGCAAAATTGGGTGGCTTTAACAAACAGAAATTTATTTGTTCACAGTTCAGGAAGCTAGAAGTCCAAATGCCGGGTGCAGGCTCAGGACAGCCTTTATCTCTGTGTTGGCTCTACGTGAAGGTCCCTGTCTCTTCTCAGCTTCTGATCCTGGGTGGTCTTCCCATGGCTTAGCATCTCTCTTCCCGTGTCTGTGCTTCCTACCATCTGTCTCTTTACGCTTTGATATCTCAAAAGAGATAGATTCAAGACACTTCCTACAGGACTCTTTCCTCATTAACATAACCAAGACAGCATATGTCCGAATGGGATTATAGTCCCAGGTATAGAAGTTAAGATTTATAACATGTGTTTCGGAGGGACACATTTTAATCCATGTGTGGGTAGCACTAGTACCTATTTTGCTGGGCTGTTTATTAGAGAATAGATAATTCACATAAAGTACTTAACACCGTGTCTGACATTAAATAAGAGCTCAATCAATTGCAATTGCTATGAAAATTTTGATTACAACTACGATTATGATTATTAGCACCATCTGCCAGTCCACAGCTGTTGGAGATGCCAATTCGGTGTACTAAGAACAAAGCACAAAACACCATTAATTATGTAGATGATGGAAAGTTAGAGAGTCCTCACTGCTCACAATATTGCTAAGAAGCCTGGGATTCATTGGGAGCCCTAGTGTATTGTGAACGAATCCCTGCTTGATTGAAAGATGTAAGTCTGCTAGTGCTTTATATTCATATTAGATCTGTGGTCAAAGATGGAACAGATTAATGTTGAGTATGGACTAATTCCAAGATACACACTAGGAGTGGATTGTAGATCTTTGTGTTAGAAGTGATCTGTAATCTGAGTTGGCTTCCTGCAGTATCAGTAGTGTCAGTGTCGGTATGATGCGTTGAGCTTTCTGGTACCTGGAATTTCAGATATCAGTACTTTTGTTAGGTTTCTCAGGTGGGAAATACCTCAGTTCTTGGCTTCACGGGAGAAAGAATTCACACCAAAGCCTGGTTTGTGATCCAAGTGGGTTTTTATAAAGGACAGAAGAAGTTTCAGGTTTTACAGTCACTGAACACAGGCACCCTCATGGGACTGCACACCCACACATTGCGGCCTGAGGCCAGAGAGAGAAACCTCAGCACAGCCGAGCAGAAAGCAGAGAAACAGCCATGGGAAAGAGGCTGGTGGTTTCCAGGTTCCGGCCTTTAGGACCCTCGGCTCGGAGGCATGGTCAAAGGTACTGGTTGACCCCATTGGCTGAATTAAGCCCACCTGGCCTAGTTTGGCCCCATCCAGGTGTACTTCTTCCCTGGCTCAAGGGCCTGAATTTGGAGCATGCCCAGTAGACACCCCTGGTCTCTGCTCTAGCTACCTACCAGTTTCAAACATTACCCATGCTGCGGGATCCTCAGACTCTCCCTTCTGAGTGCACAGTCTGATCTTACACAACAAAGAATTCTCCCAGGCAATTCTGTGATGGCTCCTGCGTTTGGAATAAGATGTCGTCTGGAGTAAGAGAATCCCTCGTTCCAAAGGTAGATTCAGTTTACCTAGTGATGTGCCACTTTAGAAGTAAGCCTTGATTAAAGCATTTACTTTAAATAAATTTACTGTAGATTTTGAAACCCTTTTCATCTCCAAATGAATACATTAAAGTTCAAAGGCAGGGTGAATTTGTTTTTTCTTTGTTTTGTTAACTTTTTATTGTGAATTAATTGAAGGTTTACAGAGTAGATCGTTAATTTTTTTATTTATCTTTTAATTCAAAAATTATTTTATTGGGAGCTCCTACAGCTCTTATAACAATCCATACATCAGTTGTATCATGCATATTGGTACATATGTTGCCATCATTATTTCTAGACATTTGCCATATATACTCAAGTGTTAGCCGAGTTTTTTCAGCATGTTTTTTATGCTGAAAAAGCCCCACAGTTTTTGGTGGCAAAAGTAGGTGCCCTGGCTTATACTAGAGTATATACGGTATTTTCTATTGAGGCCTTGGTATCAGCTCCTCTTTCTCCCCACCCGTCCTCACCCCCACCCTCATGGCCTCTTGATAAATTATAAATTATTATTATTTTCATATCTTACACCGACTGCTGTCTCCCTTTCCCAGTGGCTTTTGTTGTTCGTCCGCCTGGAGGGGGTATGTGTGTGGTTATGTGTCCATCAAGGCAGTCAGTACCCCTTCCTCCCCTCTTCTCCCCACCTGCCCCTACCCTTCTGGTATCACTACTCTCATTCCTGTTGCTGGATTCCATGTGTCTCTTAGCTGTACCTCTGTACATGCTCTGGTCTAGCCTGCAGTGAAAGACAGTACTGGGCTCATGATAGTGGAGGTGAGGAAGCCTCAAGGAACCAGAGGAATAGTGTGTGTTTCATTGGTGTTTTACTGGACCCTGATTGACTCAACCCTTCCCTGTGACCCCTCTATGAGGGGATGTCCCAACCCTCTTCTTTCTCAACAGTATGGTTTTTTGTTTGTTTATTTGTTTGTTTTGGGTCTGTTGATGCCTGTTACCTGATCCCATCGACACCTTGTGATCTTCCATGTGGGCTTGTTGGTTCTCTGCTAGATGGCTGCTTGTTTAACTTCAAGCCTTTAAGACCCCAAAAACTATATCTTTTGAAAGCCAGACCCAGTCTACTTTCTTCACCACATTTACTTACGTACCCATTTTGTCTTCAGCAATTATGCCGGGAGGATGAGCTAGATGGCCAATTTTGCCATGACCAATTCATGTGTGCTTTGTTTCCCCTGTCTGTGCAATCCCTTCGTTTCCCCTCACCATCACCACCCCATCACTTTATCTTACTTCCTCTCTGTGTTTCCCATTTCCATCCCTCCTTCTTTCCTAACTCTCTGAACTCTGTCCTTGCATGAATGCTGCCCTTTTCACCTTCAATGAGTGATCCTTCTAAGCACAAGAGTGAGTTTAATTCCAGATCTGAAGGGCAGCTAAAGGTCATAGTCTTGGGAGTCCCAGCTATTTCTATCTGATCAGCAAGCCTGTTCTCCTTTAGGATTTTGAGTTTTTTCCACATTTTGCTCCCACACCTCCTAATGTGATCCCTTTCAGAGCCGTTGGTAGTGGTAGTGGGGCACTATCTAGTTTCTGAATTGGCCTGCCATAGTTCATAAAGACAATGTTCTACATCCTTCTTTGGTGAGTGGTAATGGGGGTCCTAAAAAGTTCATGAGCAGCCATCTATGGTGCAACTATTAGCCTTTCTCCATTGAGAAGAAAGACAAATGATAAAAAGTGAAAGATATAGGGAAGCAGCTAGTCAAAATGACGAATGTACCACACAAACATTGTTATTGTATTTTTATTTTGATAATTAAGTAGCCCTAGAAGTGAATTGAGTGATTATGAGATATTGATAACTCAAGCATTGGAGTTTGAATAAGCAAACCCTAATTCCCAAGTTCCTGTTAAAAAATGCAAAATGATGGCAAGATGGCTCCGACCTATGTGTCCCGGAAGATTTGTTAGACTTCAAAATCCTACCACTTGGACTTCTGCCAATGGTCCTCTCCTGCTGTGCCAACCTATCTCTGGATCCCAGCTTCCTCTACTCAAGGATCTCTCCTGGAAGCTTTCCTGGGCCACGCTCCTCCTTCAGCAGTTTATTCATGACCCAGGCTTAACACCTAGCAGCCCCTGATGCCACATCTTGTCTGGTTGCTTCTCAGCATGTCCTGCATTCACTGGATCACCTTTCCATGCTTCGGCTCCCTGTCAGAGCTGCATATGTTGACCATTTTATTGTTCATCAGTCTAAGACAAGAGCCACAGCAGGTCCAAAGCCTAGGTGATATACCGTTTGGGATCCTACAGGAGAGCAAGGATAAGAAGGAGATGAACTATAGTTTCCTAGTGATGAGTTTCCAGACTGCCCCTAATAACGGGCGGAACATGCCTCTCTCTCTTTCTCTCAGCAACTATAGCAATAATAGTCATAAAAGCTCTGGATCTTCCACCACGTTCTTGAAGTAGTGGTAGATAAGTAACACAACTTGTACAATATCTCAGGATTAGCACTTCATGAGACGAGCATCCATCAGTGAGAACTGGATGTAAGAAGGAGCTGCCACAGGAATGGCTCTCCTGTCTTCGCCTAACTCCCTCCTCATGGATGCCTCTAAGGCATCAGATTCCGCACGGCTTGTCTGGAAGATGCTGTATATGGCCAAGTAACCAGCTGTGTGGACATGCAAAACTGAGGCCAGCTTAATGCCACACAATATGTATTTGTGTCCTCTCTTTTCTCGCTTCAGTTCCCTTTTTGGCCACTCTTGCCACCCTGGAATTGCACCCTTTTAGCATAAAACCGTGGCCTTTGGTTCTGTTTCCTAGGAAACCCATGTTAAACAGAGGCTACCAACAAAAGTTATCCACATACCCAACAGACTACTTTTTGAGAGATGAGCACCTCACTAAAATTGAAGATAAAATATTCATGATGATCAGCCAACATTTTTCTAGAAGGAAATCTTTCATCACACAGATGGTTGGAACAGATAAATACTAAAAGTTCTTCCAATTCTAAGATTGTCTCTGTGAAAAATTATTGGGGGGGAGGGCCAGGGGATATCTCCTAATTGCCAAAACTAATCTTAGAGTTGAGTTTGGGATTTGTGAGAAATATCTTCAATGAGCATTATTCAGCACAGAAGGCATGCTGGGAAAACAACTTCTTGTTGCAATAGAGGAAAACAATGTTTTACTAGAAATCCCAGCCTAATCCATATGAGAAATCCCTGAATTTGCTACAAAAGAAAAACCAGCAAAGAAAAAGAGAAATCTTTGCCTTGTGGCTGTACATGTTCTCTTGGGGAGAGATTATGGATTAGGCCATTTTATCATGTATATACCGAGGTGAATTATGCATTGTTTTTATTTCTTGTCTATTCTGTCTGAATTCCATAATGAAATCATCATCTGCTGAGTACATAGGTTTCATGGCATAAATATGCATTTCTCTCTCACTTTCTCCATCAGCTGTAGCCCATTGACAGGTATTGCTTCGTGGTTGTCAACAGTTTGTCACTCCATTTCTAGCGCAATGAAACAAACTCCACAAGTGTGCAGTTGACGTTTCTTGAGGAAAGTGGGGACTGGAGCCCACACTCCGAGATGCTAATTATTTGGGGAATTCTGAAAGCATCCTTGTGCTTTTCCAGGGTGGAGACTGTGGGGAAGGAGTCCAGGTCCGGAGCCTCTCCTGTGTGGTCCACAGCGGTTCCATCGCTCACACAGCTGTACCTGTAGATGATTCATTGTGTGGAGAATTGCCCTTTCCGGGCAGCATCCTGAAGCAGCTGTGTTCTGTGCCTTGCCCAGGTATGTATCTTAAACACTTGGGAGTCCATTCCATGCAATCTCTTTTTATTAATGTTTTCTATCATCTTTATTCTAGAGAAGCTCTATATTATCAAAACAGAAATTCTTCATTAACTTTGAGTCATGTTTAATTGTGGTTATCACTTTGGAATATGCCTACTGCTTCAATACAGGCAGAGTATGCAAGGGCTGGGAGTGGAGCACTGGACGGAAGCACTTGAGATGAAGACCTAAATTCAAATCATGGCTCCACCACTGTACTTGTGTTTTATCTTGGGCACCTCGTTTAGCCCCTAGGAACAATGATTTCTTCGTCTAGAAAATACGGTTGTAAGTCCTGCGCTGTCAGTGCCAACACATTGGCCAGCACTCAAAAACAGAGTTCGCCGATTCCACACGTGGGTGAATGCTTGAATGACAACGTGGGGGGGAAGTAAGGTTACGAATTTGTGGAAACACTCCTTTTACATTAATGTTCAATAGTCATGTGATGGCTGTAGAAAATGTGTGAGGTTGTTGTTAATTCTCACACAACCTATAGAGCATAGTTTTTAATGCATCAAATGTATCCTTAAATGTAGTGTGGATGCACATATAAGGGAGCTTCAAATGTTTGTGGAAAAAGTCCGTTATCTTTACGTTCTGCTTTCCACAGCTTTTTGAAGGCCCCTCATATAAACATACATAAATACACATTTACATTCATGTTTAGAGTACTAAGTACTTGTATCCTTTAGGCCAAATATTATTCCATTCTGGTGATCTACTTACTCCTTTGTATATGGTTTCTATGAACTCCTATTTCACAATGTTGTTATGCTTTGAAAACTGAGTTACTATCATCTCTATCTCTCCCTTTAAAAAGTTTTATCATCACTGGCAGACACAGTAATCTCTGGACATGACTACAATCTCGATTTAGCTTTGGGTACTATCTTTTTAAAAGTAGATTGAACCATTAATCACTCTATCATTCTTAATACCTTTTAGTGAAGTGGAAAACTGTCAACATAGGCTGGATAGCATCCAGAACTTGCCTCTGCCCCCGCCTCCCAATCACAAATCTGAGAGTGAATCCTGTTCATCTGAATGTTGCCCATTCCTGGTGTTCATGCTCTTCTCCCTCCCCTTGGTGACCTTGTGACCCAGGAGACTGCCAGCTCACACAGTGGTCAGACTGGAGCACGTGTGAATTCACCTGCATCGAAGGGAGAAGCTTTGAGTCTATGGGCCACCAGTCTAGGTCACGGACATTCATCATTCAATCTTTTGAGAACCAAGACAGCTGCCCCCGACAGGTTTTGGAAACACGCCCCTGTACAGGTACCGAGTGCACTTTTCATTGCTTTCCCCCTCGCAGATACATGCTTGTTCCATTTACATGTGAGCTGTAACAGACGTGCTGTAATGTTATTTACTTGCAGGGGGCAAGTGTTATCACTACACATGGAAAGTCAGCCTTTGGAACAATAATGAGCGGACCGTATGGTGCCAGCGTTCCGATGGCATTAACGTCACAGGTATGCCTTCCTAACACTGAGACAGGGAGTGCGGGATGTGCTGTGTGAGAATAAGCTCTCAAAGTAAAAGCAAGGGGTGAGTAGGCAGGTGGCCGTAGATAATCTTCATGGCAAATTGTCCTTAGACATTTGTATCTTGGGAAACAAACAAGTTGATTAAGGACCCATAGTATATCATCAGACAAGGGACAAACAGAAATGCACTGAAACACAAAAAATAATCTTTAAAAATGATGATCTGAGGTTATTTTTTAAAAAGGAAAGGGATGGGCATTGCTTTAAAGCAACAGTTAATAAAACTGAAATGGCCTTAGACCTAGTCTTCAGTGACAAACAAGTTCATCTCACACAAACAAAACAGTGATGGCAACAATGTCACATTCTGAGAGGTTCTGATGACATCCCTCTATATGCCGACATGACCGTGATAACTTATAAAGCCTGTATTATAATTTACATTAAAATAATTAACATAGGTATGTTTTTTAACATTAAAATATTACCATACTGGTTAATAGTTCAAAACCTTTTTCATCTAAATTGCAGAAGAATGTATGCACAAAATAGAAGCTTATTTGTGTTTTGTTTCTTAATATTTTACTAATCATGATTTTTACTGAATATCTGCATGCAAGCTAGAGACCCAAACATTCCTTGAGTTAGAGGCAATTTACCTAAAGAAATGGTCGTTTCAGTCATTTTAAAGGTATTTTTTAATGCCTTTTTGGCTTGTTGGCATAGATTTGTCCCTGTTTTTACATAGTACTTTATCTTGCTTACATGATGGCCTGTGATCCCCATGGTGGGCAGTTGCAAACCCCCAGCAGCTCTGCAGGAGAAAGACGGGCTTTCCACTCGTCAACAGTTCCTGTCTCAGAAACCCACAGGGGTCACCCTCGTCAGCCTTGTCTTGACAGCATCGAGTGTCTGATAAAGTGCGTTTCCTAGGGGTGGACAAAGCGGCAGAAGATGTGTCAGTTGTGCCCCATGCTTGTTCCTGTATTACTACCATTCCTGTGAAAGTATTTGCAATCATCTATTTAGCTACTTGCCTGTTTTGTTAGTTGTCATTGTCATTAAAACTAGATAGTCTCTATGCCTCACCAAAAATCAGAAAGTGCCTCCACGAAACAATTTGCTGAAAGGAAAGGAACTGTTACCAGCACTGGGCTGCTAACCACAGGTCAGCATTTCAAACGCACCAGCTGCTCAGCAGGAGTAAGACGGTAGTAAGGCCAGTTTCTGGCCTTGGAAACCCAGGGAATAGGTCTCATCTGCCCTACGGAGCCGCTGTGCGTCAGAAGTGACTGCCAGGAAGCGGGTCAAGTTGTGTATTTAGACAGTAATAATCTTGCTTATCTGAGGAACAAGTTCAGGTTCCCAATATCAGTACATTCACTAAATATTATTAAAACTGTATTTTCTTCTTAAAATGTAAATAACTGTTTATAGATACTATAAACCAAAACTGAATCCACTACCATCAAGTTTTAATGAGCCTACATCAGGTTTCTCAGACAAATCTTAACAGCAACAGACAATTTCTTCTTTCTCCCTCAGAACTCCTAGTGGTTTGAACTGCCCATAATGTACTGAACCCTCTAGCACGCACCCATCACTCTGTGCCACCAGAACTCTTTATAAAAACTACCCCCAAAAAGGGAAACTGACTGCCATCAAGTCAATGCTATAGCGACCCCCTGGCTTTCCAGAGACGATAACTGTTTACAGGAGTAGAAAGCCCAGCCTTTTTTCCAGAGAGCTACTGGTGGTTTTGAACTGCCAACCATGCGAATTGCAGTCCAACACATAAACAGTACACCACCGAAGCTCCTACTTACAAACTACAAAAGCGCTACTATTGCTTTAGCAGTTTCCAAGAGGTCTGTTTCCTCCAGGAGCACACACTTTATACTTTGGAGATTGTTATAATAATGTCATAATGATTTGAAATACCTTGCTCAGGTTAAAGAATGAAAAACCCTAATATCTGTGCTATAAGTTTCACGTCTAGGTGCTAATTCTAGATTGTGGGGTTGTATGTGTTACATAGTTCATTTTCTTCTTTTGTTAATCATTATATTGGGGGCTCGTACAACTCTTATCACAATCCATATATACAACCATTGTGTCTTTCATGCATACATTTGGTGCCATCATCATTCTCAAAACATTTTCTTTCTACTTGAGCCCATGG